ATTACCCAACAAGTATATCTAGATCCCTGAGCGAAAACAATCGTACGAGTGGGTTTTCATTTACCTGAGGCAGGAATAACCCAAACTATCTTCCCCAGGACATTCTTTATGTGCGCTTTATGTGCACTACAGGAACTTTATTCCCCTCTACAGTATGTTTGGGTTAGGCCAGCCCTGTTGGTAGATCCCCTGGTGGCTTTTGATAAATGAGTATCCCAGTGTTTGAAAGCCCCACCACCTATTGCTCTCAGTGTAGTTTTTAACAACTGGTTTCACTGTTTGATTTTCCTAGAGGCTGATGCATGGTAGGGGATGTGATAAACCCACTCAGTGCCATGCTCTTTGGCGTAAGTGTCTATAAGGTTGTTCCGGAAATTAGTTCCATTGTCTGTCTCAATTCTTTTTGGGGTGCTGTGTTGCTACAAGACTTGTTTCCCAAGGCCCAGGATAGTGTTCCGGGAAGTAGTGTGGGGCGCAGCATATGTCTCCAGCCATCTGGTGATTCTTCCACCATGGTACGCACATGGCACTTGCCTTGGCGGGTCGGTGGAAATATGATGTAGTCAGTCTGCTAGGCCTCCCCATATTTGTACTTTAGCCATTGTCCTCTATACCAAAAATGCTTTAACTGCTTGGCTTGCTCATTTGCAGCACATTTCTCATTCATGAATAACCTGGGAAATAGTGTCCATTGTTAAGTCCACCCCTCAGTCACGATCCCATCTGTATGTTGCATTTCTGCCTTGATGGCATGATGTGTCATGGGCCCACTGGGCCAAAAAATTCACGCTTATGTTGTCAATCTAAATTGAGCCACTTGAGTCTTAGCAGCTTGGTCCACCTGTTGGTTGTTCTGGTGTTTCTCAGTGGCCCAGCTCTTGGGTACATGAGCATTGCCATGGTGTACCTTCACCATCACATTCTGCACCCAGGTAGCGATATCTTGCCACAGTGTAGCAGCCCAGATGGGTTCACCTCTGCGTTGCCAGTTGCTCTGCTTCCATTGCTGCAACCACCCCCACAGGGTATTTGCCACCATCCATGAGTCAGTATAGAGATAAAGTACTGGCCGCTTTTTTCGTTCAGCAATGTGCAAGGCCAGCTAGATGGCTTTCACCTTGGCAAACTGACTTGATTCACCCTCTGCTTCAGCAGTTTCTGCCGCTTGTCATAGGGTATTCCATACAGCTGCTTTCCATCTCCGATTTCCCACAGTACGGCAGGACCCATCAGTAAACAAGGCATACTGCTTTTCACTTTCTGACAGTTTATTATCTGGTGGGGCCTCTTCAGCACTTATCACTTTCTCCTCTCAGCGTTTTTCGCAGGCTAAAGTCGAAAACACAGCACTGCATCAGCTACTAAGGAGAAAAATGACTGCTACTGCTGAACCTAGGATAATCGCTGATCCAGTTCAATTTATATCTCTACAGCATTTTTCTCGGAAAAAGTGAAAGGGTGATGTGGAAGCAGAAATATATTAAACTGTTATCCATACATTGCAGAAAGGTGGATGTTAGTGTACCCTAGAACTTTTTAAGATTCCACTGCTGCTGAGAATTTGAGGGTGATGGAGAGAGCAACAAAAATAATCAGAGAAACAACAGCTTGGGTATCCAACCTCGAACTCTAAATGGAAAGCAGCTGTAACTCTCTACCCTGCTACATCTGGAAAACATCAGTTTGATGAAGCACAGCCTCAAAGACTGTAGTTTATTTGGAGAACTGTATTTTGAAATATTTTAAATTTGGTGATGTTTTAGGCATCTGTGCAAGTACTGTGTGCTTGCTTGCTCTCTCATGCTGATGTTTTCTATTTGTTTTTAAAGAATGAAATAATATTGAGACTTGGTTATTTTCTTGTCTCTGTTTTTATTCTAGTATTCCAAATATTTTTTCAGGATAATGACAAGTCTGATATAGCTTGTGCCATGTTTTTATTAGCTAATTGCAAAAAATGTAAATCTCTATGAGAGGCTGTATGCAGAGTAGTCGTGAGCAACACATACCTTTTTGCTTGACTGAGTTTAGTAATAAATTTAGTAATAAATTCCCAGTAATTTGTACATAGTCTGTGGTACTCTTTGGCTAGTTGGTGTTAGGTATCCTGTCTCTGCTTCCTCCCTGTTTCCCCTCCTCCCTGGCAGAGCATGAGCCTCAGAAAATCCTTGGTTGGTGTAAAAATTACTTGGCAACAACAAAAAACATTGGTGTTATCAGCATTGATCCCAGGCTTAAAGTCAAAACCACAGCACTGCACTGGCTCCTAAGAAAAAGCGATCGGCATTATGTATGGTGTGTCTCCAAGTTTCCCGATTGGAGGCCAAGGTGGACATGGTAGTTAATATGGCCAAGGCTAAGGTATTGTTTCAGGGAGTCCTTATATCTCTTCTTTGGGGCACTTCTCTTGCAGCAACCAGTGGCAAGTTCACCATAAAGCACGATCTTAGGGAGGCGATGATCCTTCATCCTAGAGACATGCCCTGTCTTCTTCAAGCTGACTTCCAGCCCAAAAACTGCAGTCGCCTCTGCAAAGCAAGATGTTAAACGCTGTATAGCTGCTTTTGTGTGGGCAACAAGGGCAGGATCATCAGCAAAAAGCAGTTCATGGACAAGATGATTTAAGTTTAGTGTGGGCCTTCAGTCTCCTTAGGTTGAATAGGTTCCCATCAGTACGATATTGAATATAAATTCCGTTTTGTTAGTCAAGGTCTACCAGAGCCCTTTGGAGCATCACGCTGAAGAAGACTGTGAATAAAGTTGGTGCGAGAACGCAACCTTGTTTCACACCATTGGTTATTGGGAAGGGCTTAGAGAGTGCATTGCCATATCTGACTTGGATTTTATACTTGTTCGGTGGTGAAGTTCCAAAGCACTGGAGGGGCCCACTGGCCTAGATACTTGCCCAGACTATCCTACACACCGTGCCACTCATGACTGTCCAGCCTCAGGGAAGATCTCTTGGTCCTCCTATATCATCGTCTATCCCTAGACAAGACCTAAACCCAACTTTACTTAACTTTTGAGATCAGACGAAATAGTCATGGGTAAAACACACTCTGTTTGTGTGCAAACATGGTGATCCCCATCACAATCAGCAGGCAGGACTCAAGGGTACCCAAGGGCCATTCAGAGCCTTCAGAACTCTCAAATGATGCTGTAAACGATCTGGTGGGGGGGCTGGGAAAGTAAGGTAATGTCTCCTTCACAGGTTGACCACCTGAGGAGGGGAAAAAGGATTTGTAATTGTTAAACACTTCTAATATATACCTCCCAAAGTATAGAGGTGATGACCACACTGGGAACACAAGCTAGATCAGTTTCATGATCAATGAGTCTATTGTATTCCAAGTCATTGCCATAAAGTACAATGAAATGAGTACCTTAGCCCAAGGCCCCCAGCCGATAAACACTAAAACAGCAAATACTGTCTTTAAGTAAGGTACGTCATGCTGAAACTCAGATCAAGAGCAACAAGTTTGAGAGGCAATAAATCAGCATTGTGATGATTTACTATTACTCTGAAACAGTAAATGCTTATCACAAATATGTTTAGACACACTCTCGTCTGTAGCAAGGAAGAAGTTCTTTACTGTGAGGGTGGTGAGGCACTGGAATGATTTGCCCAAGGAAGTTGTGAATGCTTCATTTCTGGCAGTGTTCAAGGGTGAGTTGGACAGAGCCTTGGATGACATGGTTCAGTGTGAGGCGTCCCTGCCCATGGGAGGGGGTTTGGAACTAGATAATCTTAAGGTCCTTTCCAACCCTAACTATTCTGTGATTCTGTGTGTGGTGCTGAAGGCTGAGCCCGAGTCCATCCAGATACTTGCTGAAGGCAGAGCTTTCTTTTCTTTTTTTGTTCAGTCCAAATGTTATCTTCTTTCTCAACTGTGGATATTTCTTATAGGTCTTAGCTAAATTCTCAAGAAGGTATAATTTATCTTTCTTGGACCTGTGGCTGTTTGTGTTTGTGGAAATTTGCAGGTATTGGTGGTGGCTGTTTTCCTGACTTCCTTTAAAACAGAAAGAAATGAATTTGAGCTTTCTCAAATGATGATACAAACCAATATTTGTCCATCTCTTCAAAACCTCATTTGCTTTCCTTGTTGGTCAGAGTATGGTAGTACAAAACTATTTTAATGGAAGCTAATTGTTACTGTAAATGTTCTTTTTCAGTACACAATGCTCTAAACATTATCTTCTAAATGTTCATAAAATAATTTGCTCTACCAAGTAGTTACTGACTTGAATCTGACCATTCACCTTATTAGAATAGTAAGTCTATAAATGTGTGCAGGTAAAAGGATAGGTATGAAAACACTGGTGATACCATGTGGCTTATTTCCCTTTGAGATTCTTCCATTACTGTGTATTTTTCTTCTTTTCTGGAGCAACTTTGCTATTGTGTGTAAGGGTATATAGAATCTGTGGATAAGCTAAGCATGTGCTGTAGGTGTCTTTGTTTTTTGCAGTAAGTCTTTATGGTTAGATAGGACTACTAGCTTTAAAATTTTTAGTCATCATATAGGGTTCATTTTAATGATTGTTAACAAAGTGCAGTGCTTACCAATCTTAGACAAACCAAAACCAACAAGCTGGAAGATCATAATGCAGAGAGTTAAAACTCTATGGCTTGTAAATTGACTTTAGACTCTTCTCTCTAAATAACATTTGAACTTGCTTGCTGATATATATGGGGATTAAAAATAGAATAGCACTGGCAGTGTGGAGCAGGGGGGGTCATACAGTACCATCCTTTTAATCGAGTATTTGAAGGAAGAAATTCCACTCTAACAACCCCAATGGAAATAATTGGAAGATTTTAATGCATCAGCAAAATATTTGAATTTTCAAGTAAGTTTTAGGCTAATAGCTATTCTTACTTGGTCATCATTTGTTAGGAAAGTGATATCATTGTCAGTATTTTACAGTGAAGTTACTTTGTACTGTGGCCAGACAGCATAGTTCATTTCATCATAGTGTGCTCATCTTGATTGCAGCACATCTTCGTTGCCACCTCTTGATTGGCCTTTACCAAGTCATTATGGGCAGTGTGAACTGAAAATAGAAGTCCAGCCTAAAACTCATCACAGAGCTCACTATGAAACGGAAGGAAGCAGAGGAGCAGTAAAAGCGTCTACTGGAGGACACCCTGTAGTGAAGGTAGGAAGTCTGGTTTTCTTGAATAGAAGATATTTTTTTAACTACAATTATTGTTTTTTATAATGCTGTGAGTTGTTACCTTGTGTGAAGTTTACAGTCCTTCCTGGGTAAGATTTTCTCCCTTAAATGTAACTTGTTCAATACAAAAGTTATTTTTCCATGTTCAAAAACTTAGTTTGCTACAGTTACAGTGAAAGTCACAATTTTATGCTGCATGTAGTTTTATGCTTGTGAATGGATTCACTGTGTGATAGTGTATTAACGTATTCAACATGAACTTTAAAGAAGAAGGGGTACACATGAGGGCAGATTAGAAAAATCACAATAATAGATTAGTTGAAGCTATACTGAAGTATGATACAGAATCATTTGAATCAGAAATCATCTGTCTTTTGGTGTTGAGACAGCTTCTGAACACTGTAAATGCCTCTTGTCTGTGTTTTTGTTAGGTTATTTCTATGAAATGGTACCCATACATTCTGTTAACTTTCACTTAAATGTTTGGAGTAAATTAAACTTGACTCTTTTTAGCATGAACCAAAGGTTATTACTCACAGTGTAATGGTAGCTATTGTCTTTAAAAAGCAAGGTATCACCTAATTTCATTAGATTTGGACTGGTTATCTATAAAGGCAAGTAGGAGTTTTTCTTGCCCTTTTTTTTTGGGGGGGTGGTGTTTGTTTTGTTTTTGTTTTGTTTTGGATGTCAGTTCCAGAATCATACAAGATTTATTGTCTCTTAGGACAGTTTCAATCACAGAATCATAGAATGGGTTGTAAGGGACCTTAAAGATCATCTAGTTCACCTCACATTTGACCATGTTGCCGTGTTCCACTAGACCAGGTTGCTCCAAGCCCCATCCAACCTGGACTTGAACACTGCCAGGGATGGAGCAGCCACATCTTCTCTTGGCAGCCTGTGTCAATGCCTCCCCACACTCCCAGGGAAGAATTTTATTTTTTCTAATACATAATATAAATCTACCCTCTTTCACTCTACCCTCTTCTGAGTTTCAAGAAAATCCAGTAGTGCAGGCAACAGTACTCATCTGGCTAACAGAGGGTGGTGATGTACTGACTGTTTTGATAACTGGTACCTTCCATTACTGGTTGCTTTGGCTGGGTTCCTTAGCTAATGCTAAATATTTCAAATGCTAATGGCATCTAAAGTGTATGATTTAAATACTTTGCAAATACCGTCCAGTTATTGTTGAGCTCAGAGTTAGATGTAAGGTCCTGGTAAATCGGGCTTGGCTCTCATAAGAAAGCTTTGCTGTCATATTCTCTTTGAAGGGAAGCATGTGTGGGTTTGACATATGCAGGTATAACTGTCTGCGCAAGCTGTGACATGTTTCTCTATGACTTCTGGAGTTCAGGTGTGTACACAATATCTTACTCTAGGCTGGGAAGACTTCTGGACTAGTTAGGGATAGTCACTGATGTCTCCTTTAATATCTACGGTGACAGATGGCTCATGAAGCTTAAAAGGGAATCCACCTTCTCATTCACTGGGCATGGGGAAGATTGTGCCAAGGAACTGTAGGACTTCTTAAGTTGCCTTGATTTATCAGTTTGTCATATTCTTGGGTGAAAGCAATATCTCTGTATTCACCTCAATGCTGCTTAATAGTCTTTATCTTAATCCTAGTCCAGGTTCAGATAATATTTAACTGTTCATTTATAAGGCAGATCAGAAAACAGTTATAAAATATTTATAAGACAAATAGGAAAGGAAAAAAATAATCTGATGGCATCTAGGTTACAGTAGGGTTTATCTTTTCCCCCGAATCTGGGATATAATCCATAATATTTCCTCTTCCAGCAAAATGTCAGACAGGGTTTCAGTCCTTAATCTTTCACTATAGCAGTCTATACTTTAAAAATGTATTTGATCTACTTACCCTATTCCAGTGGTTGGAAATAACTCACCACTATATGAGATCAGATGCAAAATGCTCATGGGATTGGCATAATCAGTCCCCATTCATACTGTAGTATAAACATGTTATTTTTTTCTTTTTATAGTTTATTCCTCCTCTCTGGCAATTAAATTCTGTCATGCTTTATAATTACATCAGGTTTGGAACACCTCTAATGTTATAGAACTGTTATATATATAATTGCTGAGGTAAGTAGCTCAAGAGAGGATGCCTTCAACACTTGAGCAGAGGGAAGCTCAGCATCCAGGAGCCTCAGTTCACAGCAGCAAGGGCCACCGAGGGAGCATCAAGTCCTCGACAGGACTTGCCCAGAAGCCAGCAGCTCAGTTACGCGAGCAGCTGACTCACAAAGGGTGGCACCAGGAGGAGCGGAATCAGCCCTGACTGGTTAAAAACCTGCCCCAGGGAGTGCAAGCGACCTGGAGCTGAGCTCGAGGCAGTTTGCGCGGCAAACAGAGCAGGTCGAGACAGTTTGCACGGCAGTTTGTCTGGGCAAGAGAGTGGGATGGTGAGCATTCACCTTATGACCAGGGCCCGGTCTGGGAACTCTGCTCTGGCTGCCCTGGCGGTGGCCAGAGTAGGCACCCAGACAGAGCCGATGAGAAGGGAGGCTGCAGTGCAGAGCTCGGAGTGTAGAGAGCGCCTGCACTGGTCTCTTGAGGCGAGGGTGCACAATGGGCAGGGCTAATAAGTCCCACTGACTATTACCCACTTCTAGTGATCCATGTGGGTGCTAGTGATATAGATAGCAGTAGCCTGGAGAATATTAAGAAGGGCTACAGAACCCTGGGAGAGTTGGTTAAGGGCTCTGGAGCTCATATAGTCTTTTCATCAATTCTCTGTGATAAAGGGGGGGACCTTAAAAAGGCTAGGAGGATTGGCCAGGTTAATAAATAGTTAGAAGGGTGGTGCTATAGTCAGGGGTTTGGGTATCTAGAGCATGGAGCTCAGTCTAGGAGGCCAGGTCTACTGGAGGCTGCTGGAGCTGGTCTAAGGGGAAGAGCGGTTTTGATAGGAGGCTTGCCAGGCTGGTCAAGAAAGCTTTGAACTAGATTTATTGGGAGAGTTTGGTATCATTCCATCCCAACACACCCAGTCAGTTGCCAGCACCTATAATAAATGCTCAGAGCAATGCAGAGATATTCCAGCCACTACAGCCAATGAGCCAGCTTTCTTTGGAGCTCGGCTCAGATGCCTCTATACAAACACCTGTAGCATGGGGAACAAACAAGAGGAATTAGAGATGTGTGCATGTCTACAGGGGTATGATATAATAGGCATCACAGAAACATGGTGGGATGGCTCCTATGACTGGAGTGTTGGAATGGAAGGTTACTGTCTTTAGAAAAGACAGGCCTGGCAGACGGGGAGGGAGAGTTGCTATTTATGTTAGGGATAGGCTGGAGAGTATGGAATTCTGTCTGGGGACAGGTGAGCAGTCAACAGAGAGTTTGTGGGTCAGGGTTTAAGGGAGAATAGCTATGGGAGACATTACTGTAGGGATCTGTTAAAGACCGCCTGATCAAGAGGACTCTGTGGATGAAGCATTCTATAGAGAGATAAGAACAGCCTCACGCTCACAGGCCTTTGTCCTCATGGGGGACTTCAACCACCCTGATATCTGTTGGAGCGACGGTACGGCCCGGCAGAAATAATCCAGGAGGTTCCTCGATTGTGTGGAAGACAACTTCCTTCTGCAAGTAATAGAGGAGCTGACAAGGAGAGGTGCCATGCTTGACCTTGTGCTCACCAACAGGGAAGGGTTTGTTGGAAATGTGATGCTCCAGGGCAGCCTTGGTTGCAACAGTCATGAGAAGGTCAAATTAGAGATCCTCAGGACAGTGAGAAGAGCGTGCAGCAAGCTCACTCCCCTGGACTTCAAGAGAGCAGACTTTGGCCTCTTCAGGAACCTGCTTAGTAAGGTTCCAAGGGAAAAAGCCCGAGAGGGCAGGGGGGCCCAAGACTGTTGGTTGATATTCAAGGATCACCTGCTACAAGCTACAACAGTAGTGTTGTGTTCCAATTCGAAGGAAGTGCAGCAGGAGGGCCAGGAGACCTCGTTGGATGGATAAGGAGCTGCTGAGGAAACTTTGAGGGAAAAAAGAGGCTTATAAAAGGTGGAAGCAAGAACAGGTGGCCTGGGAAGAATACAAGGATGTTGTTTGGGAAGCTAGGGACCAGGTTAGGAAAGGTAAGGCCCAGTTAGAATTAAACTTGACTAGGGATGTGAAAGATAACAGGAAGGGTTTCTATAGGTACATTGGAAATAAAAGACAGACTAGGAACAACATAGGCCCCCTCAGGAAGCCTTTGGGAGAACTGGCTACCTTGGATTTTTAGAAGGCTGAGGTTCTGAATGACTTCTTTGCCTCGTTCTTCACTGGCAAATGCTCTGATCTCACTGCCTAAGTCTTGGAGGGCAGATGCAGGGACTGTGAGAATGAAGACCTTGGGCCCACTGTGGGAGAGGATGTGGTTCGAGACCATCTTAAGATCCTGAATGTATGCAAGTCCATGGGACCTGATGAAATCTATCTGCAGGTGCTGAAGGAGTTGGCGAATGAAGTTGCTAAGTCACTGGGCATCATATTTGAAAAATCATGGCAGTCAGGAAAAGTTCCTGATGACTGGAGAAAGGGAAATATAACCCCCATTTTCAAGAAGGGGAAAATGGATGACCCGGGGAATTACAGACCAGTCAGTCTCATCTCTGTGCCTGTCAAAATCCTGGAGCAGATTCTCCTGGAAGGCATGGTAAGGCACATGAAAAACAACAAGGTGCTTGGTGGCAGCCAGCATGGCTTCACTAAGGGGAAATACTGCCTGACCAATTTGGTGGTTTTCTTTGATGGGGCTGCGGAAATGATGGACAGGGGTAGAGCAGTTGATGTCATCTACTTGGACCTGTGCAAAGCATTCAACACTGTCCCGCACGGCATCCTTGTTTTTAAATAGGAGAGACATAAATTTGATAGGTATACCACTAGGTGGATAAAGAACTGGCTGGATGGCCACACACAAAGAGTTGTGGTCAATGGCTCAATGTCCGGCTGGAGACCAG